GGTTGGAGACCGTGCGGAAGGCACTAGCAGACTAGCATCGTAGGAGGCCAAAAGGGGTTTTCGCCTATGGGGGTTTCGTAGGGATTAGCGTTCCCATAATGGGGTTCATATTAGGAATCCCTACCCCAAGAATCTTAAACCCCCCTTTTGGCCTCCCATCAGACTAGCAGCAAAGGGCCAGCTGATCAGCGAACGCAGTGCCAGCTGGCCTTGTCGACAAACATATCACGTGCGGCCCCAGTCAGCTTCGGGCTTCTTTCGAAAAGTAGGGGGTACCCTATTTTGGGGTCCCTATAATAAGGATCCCACTATTTAGGGTACTATATTACGGGTTCCCCGTGTTCTAAAAGAGCGTGATTGATGCTCTTGATGTGTTAGGCTTGAGCCTGCTACCGTACTACATGGCTCGCCTGGACCACCAAGCCCTCGAAACCTTTGTTTTGCATTGACCATGACAGAACGAAAGTCGTGCCATCCAAGACGATGATGTGAGCAGGAAGACCGTGTATTAGGTGTGCCCGGGGGCCGCGCAGCCCCCCCAAACCCCCTCCCATCTCCACGCCCGCCGAGCCAAGCAAAACGAAGCTTGCTGCAAAACAGTTTTTAGAACATGCGGTTCCCGAACAACTTGCCGTAACACAGCTCCCACTGCTGTAGCCTGCCGGCTTAAAACAACTTCAGTAATTGCCATTGCCATTCCCGAAGAGTGGAGAGACGGACCTGTACGAGTTGGAGATTTTATTTAGCTTGCCGTGAAACGAGGCTCTGCCCAACCCTTCATTACTGCAGCTAGTGTTTTGAATTTGGTTTTTGCTTCCACACATGTTGCTTCGCTAGAGACGTTCATTCGCTTTGATCCTTTACTCATAGTGCTACCGCACTGCTCGGGGGAACATGGCTTCGGCTCAAGCCAATTTTGTTCTAACCAAGTTGCTGGTGTTGTGATTTTGCAACATCTCCGACGCAATGACCGACGCGGCTGTGAACATTCTCGCCAACATGACGCAAGAAGCAGACCCACCTTTGACAGCAACTGAAGATGCAGGTGCTGTCGCTTGGGTGTTGACGTCAACAGCCTTGGTCTTTTTGATGACGGCAGGGCTTGGCTTCTTTTATGGAGGCCTGGTCCGCGACACCAACATTATCAACACCATGATGATGAGTGTGGTCTCCATGGGCATTGTCACACTGACTTGGGTGGTGTTTGGCTTCTCATGGGCCTTTGGAGACAACGGCGAGACTGGCATTGGTCTATTCATTGGCAACTTTGACTACAGCTTTTGGACGGGTCTAGACATGAAGAACTGGGACACTCTTCCAGGGCTTGCCTTCGCCTCGTTCCAGATGACGTTCGCCATAATCGCCAGCGCCATCATCTCCGGATCCTTGGTGGAGCGTGTGCGCTTCAGCGCATACTGCATCATGCTGGCCCTTTGGTCCCTTCTGATCTACGCACCTTTGTGCCACTGGGTTTGGGGACCTGGTGGCTGGATTGGTCAGCTGGGAGCTCTCGACTTTGCAGGTGGAACCGTGGTCCACATCAGCTCAGGTGTGTCCGGCCTCGTTGCCGGTGCAATCCTCGGCCCACGCAAGCACGTTGAGAAGGACCTGGGTCCGGCCAACGCCCCCTTCGTGATCTTGGGTGGCTGCCTCCTTTGGTTTGGCTGGTTGGGATTCAACGGTGGCTCTGCTCTGTCCACCACGGACGGAGTGGCAGCACGTGCAGTGGCCACCACTTTCGTGGCTGCGGCTTCCTCCATGCTGACCTGGCTGGCGCTTGAGCGTATCCTGAAGGGCAAGTCAACCAGTGTGGGAGCATCTGTCGGTGCGGTTGCAGGTCTCGTGGTCATCACACCCGCAGCCGGCTTTGTGACACCTGGCTGGAGCATTGCCATTGGCGCCTTGGGCGCTCCTTGGTGTTACCTCACTGTTGAGGCAGTGAACAGGATCAACTTGGTGGATGACACTCTTGACGCCTTCGGCTTGCACGGCTCTGGTGGCTTTGCGGGTGCCATTTTGACGGGCATCTTTGCGGTTGACGAAGGCCTCATCTACAGCGGTAGCTTCCTGCTGTTGGGCAAGCAGATTGCTGGTGCACTGGCTGGTGTGGCCTTCTCTGCTGTGGGCACTGCCATCATCGTGGGAGTCATGAGGATGCTGTTCAAGCTTCGAGTTCCAGAAGACCAAGAGATTGGTGGTGTTGACCAACACACTCACGGAGAGAGTTACCACAGCCCAATCAAGAGGTATGAAGCAGGTGGCCGCATGACTGAGTCGTCGGAGTCAGAGTCCGACGCTGTCTGCTGAGCATGGAGAGCATCTGCAACTTACATTTAAAACAGCGCTGCGATGTCAGCTATCTGTTGCATAATTTCTTGCACTGTCCAGGATAAGTGTGACACAAGTGACGATTGCTTCTGCATTCGCCCTTTTAGGTTGGAGACCGTGCGGAAGGCACTAGCAGACTAGCATCATAGGAGGCCAAAAGGGGTTTTAGCCTATGGGGGTTTCGTAGGGATTAGGGTTCCCATAATGGGGTTCATATTAGGAATCCCTACCCCGAGAATCTTAAACCCCCCTTTTGGCCTCCCATCAGACTAGCAGCAAAGGGCCAGCTGATCAGCGAACGCAGTGCCAGATGGCCTTGTCAACAAACATATCACGTGCGGCCCCAGTCAGCTTCGGGCTTCTTTCGAAAAGTAGGGGGTACCCTATTTTGGGGTCCCTATAATAAGGATCCCACTATTTAGGGTACTATATTACGGGTTCCCCGTGTTCTAAAAGAGCGTGATTGATGCTCTTGATGTGTTAGGCTTGAGCCTGTTCCGTACTACATGGCTCGCCTGGACCACCAAGCCCTCGAAACCTTTGTTGTGTGGCGAGGCAGACCGCCGAGCGTATCCTCACGGAGATGATGAACGTGGATTTGAGCATGGTGCCTGCGGTGTAGGGTGCTGTGGGATTTCGACTTTAAGGTTCCTAGCAGCATTGCTTTGAAGGCTTGAGGTTTAATTCGAGACCTTGAACACTACTTCGCCATTTCGAAACATTCACCAGTTGTCCCTGGTTTTGAGGGTGCGATGCGGGAGTACTTGAGCTGAGGGCTCCAGGTTTGGAGTTCGGGGTTAACATCTCAAGGTTGCCGGGTCAGGGTCAAGGCAGAGGGTTCGGGAATATGGCTTAGGCTTAGGGCTTAGAGTTTAGGGTTTGGGGTTGAGGATTTAGGGTTTAGGGTGTAGGGGAATGGGAATGTTGGGAAAGACCAATCGCTCTTCCACTCTGATGCTCTGGAGTGGTTCGAAGGCATGCAGTAGGCCGAAGCGGTTGGGGTCGGAGAGACTGCAGTACATGTGACTGAGCACCTTGTTCTGGTGCCCCGCACGCCGCGAAGCAATCCATCCTCAGTGCCAGTCGTAGCGATGGAAGTTCTGAATTTCTGGTAAGGTTTTGATGACGATCAGAAAACACTGGTCATGATGACGATGATGACAGTGATGATGCTTTGCTACTGGTGCGCCGATTGTCTTCGGAATATGGGAATATGGTTTATCTCAGGTCTTTTGTTCTTTGTACTGCTGGTGCTACGCAATTTGTGCATTGTTGGACCAACTCTCATCCTCTCATCCGACACAGATCAGCTTCGACTTCTCCGCCGTAGAGCGCCAGGAGGCATCACGTGCCATGGGACTTTTTGGGCATAGACTCGCATTTCGAGGGGCTCGTACATCGGCTTCCTGCATCCGATCAAGTTTCGACGAAAAACATACTCTTCCTGAGTCCTTGATGCGATGCTGGTCCTACACAGGACCGTAGCAGAGTTCCCTACATCACTCGTTTCTGGTTTGCATGGTTTCATGTGCACTGCATCACTCAGATGTTGGAAAAGAGAGAAGCAGAGAAATACAGACATGTGTAGGGACACCACAGGTTCATGGTTACAAGGCTGTTTGGATTTGCAGGTTTTTGTGTGTGTGTGTGTGGAAACTGTATAAACATGCCATGTACAACTTGTTGTTTCTCTCTCTCTCTCTCTCTCTCTCCCTCTCTCTCTCTCTCTCTCGGTCTTTTTGCATCCTCCTGCATGTCCGTACTGTTGTCTGTATAGCTGAGCATCGGCGTTGGGTTTGTAGGTTTTCATGTTTGCCCATGTGCATGTATGCATGCAAGTTGCAGTTTATTCGTCGGTGTATGTGCTCTAGCCAAGTGCCGTACGCGTCTGTACATACTTATGTAAACATGTATGTTCCTACTCGCGCACCTGTCTCTCTCTCTCTCCCTCTCTCTCTCTCTCTCTCTCTTTCTCTCTCTCTTTCCCTCTGCATTGGCAGTAGCATAGCTACAGTGAAAATCCCGAGTTCCAGGAAAAGTGGGAGCATCAAGTCTGCGGGAATGTGGACTGTGGACATCGCCATTCTAGCAAGTCATATCTTGAATATTCTGATCTTCGAAACTACCCTAAACCCTAAACCCTAAACCCTGACATGCGTCTTTTTCTCTAGAATAGTGTGGCGTAGGCCGTGAGCCCCAGGCCTCCAGACCCCAAGCCCCGAACTCTCAGCCGATGCAGCTCCTAATATAGGGGCCTTAATAATGCCTGTACCATTTTTTGGGGGTTCCTTATTGGAATTACAGTAAGATGGGCCCCAAAACCCTATTCTAATTACTATGGCCCCTATACTACGCGGGATCGACATGTACCAAAGTGAGACCTCGCCAAGCCGAAAGCTCTGCTGTAGGAAGAAATCGACTCTCCGTCGTTCCCGGTGCCAATCTCAGTCGCATCTTTGGGGCAGCTGGCGATGCAGTTGGCAGTGTAGCAATTGCCGATTTCAAGCCTCCTGTCTTACGAGTTGCTTTCTCAGGCAAACACCAGCGTCTAGGTCTAGGGACTTGAGATCGGGGGTATGAGTGTAGAGCTTGAGCTATGGTTTCTGACGCCGTTCAGGATTCGGCATGCATGCGCAGCTTCAATCATAAGGAGCTTGCGGGTGGGAGATCTCGGGTTTAACCCCCGACACAACGAATATGGGGGCTCCAATAATTACCTACGCTATTTTGGGGGCTCCTTATTATAAATATTGTACAATATACCCCCCCTCCAAAAAAAAACGCTATTCTAATCATTAAGGCCCCTATAGTAAGTGTCGTCCGTCTGCCAGGGCGTGACGACCGTGTACCGCAAGGAGTTGGTAGAGTGCAAGGTGACCACGCCTGACAAGGCCCGCCGACGGCACAGAACCCTAAACAATAACCCTATAGACCGTAAACCGGAAGAGCCCGAAACCCGAAGAACCACGAAGCTGAACTCATGCCCGCCTCTCTTCAACTTTTTTAGAAAGCCCGAATACCCCTTCATGAAGCTCTATGACTTGAAACTGTGACGTAAACTCTATACGGCTTCTTAGTGTTTTAAGGGATACTGTACCTCGGTCATTATGGGGCATGGGGATCTATGGGTTTCCCTGATGTTTTCAGGTCCAGTCAACAAGACCCTGAACCCACGCCCTACGCCTTCAATCGTAGTCCACGAACCCCGAAACCCTCAAGCTGGTTCTGGAGTGTGGGGGAACCATCAACTCTAGTGCCCAACTGGTCTGCCTAAGCCCAAAACCCTCAAACCCGTATATGGGTGGCTGTCAAAATTATGGTCCCTTGTGGGGTACCCTAAATACTAGGTGCCATATTATTATAGTGGCCCAAAAAAAGGCTATGATTTTGACCACCACCCATATAACCCCTGTTGATGGACTAAATCCTGCATTACCCCTTATAAGGCATATACCGTAGTTCCCATAGTTTAGAGTCCTTGGGGTTGTGCAGGATTTTGTCCATCAACAGCCAACGACCGTCCCGACCCACAGAAGCGCCAAACCATCCCGAACCCTGCACTCTCAAGTCACGCAGTGAAAGTTCGCAAAAAGGATCTGCCACGACACCCAAACCCCGAACCCTCAACCACCCTAAACCCTAAACCCTAAACCCTAAACCCAAACCCTAAACCCTAAACCCTAAACTAGCAGGCGTGGGGGTGGAGATGACAATGCCCTGCATTATGTTGTTCTCTCGCCCTTTGCCTGAGAACACGCCTTCGCCGGTCTCGATTGAAGAGACCCAAGTGGAACAAGAGGAGGTTGTGAAGCGGAGACGGGTTGTGCGAGTTCAAATCAGCTCGTCCTCTACCGGGCCAAGGGGTTCGACAGAAGTGGACCTCCCCTTGAACGAGACAGGCCATGGACGTCTTCACATGGACATGGTGGTGACAGAGGTGGATGAAAGCCCAGCAAGTACGGTGGACCTTGCGGGCACATCGGCTGGTGTGGGCCCTTGTGGGGCGCCGGGTACGCCGGAACACGGCCTCTCTCTGCCGGCCCAGGCTCCGGCAGGCTTGCACCGTTATGGGCTGTCGTATGCCGACTACAGGAGCATGTGGTCAGGGTGGAGGTGTGGACAGCTGTCTGTGGCGGAGATCCGACGACATCATGGACCAGCGGTGGCGGAGTATGTGCTCACACATTGGGCACCCCTCCCCTTGGAGGCATACCTTATGCCCGAGACAGCTACGAGATCCAGGAGGCCTCACGAAGGGACAGAGCCAGAGGGAAACGATGGGGATGATACAAGTTTGGTGCAGCAGGGATGGGGACTACTACCGATGCTGGGAGTGGCCATGGACCGTGTGCCCTTGCAAGACACCCCCTTTTGGACCTTGGCGAGAAGGGTGCTAAGAGGGATGCAAAGAGAAGGGTTGAACATGGTGGCGGTTGCATCCAGCCTCTTTCAAAGGATGTGTGACAGAGGAGATGAAGACTACACCTCCCAGTATGAAGATTATGTGGGGCAGCTGGATTTGCCATATGAATGCGATGCAGACTCTGTTTCGATCTTGACGGTGCACCAGAACCATGTGGTGCAATGGATTGAGACAGAGACCTGGCTGGATTACCTTGACTTGGTGGAGAGTCAGGCTGGGTGGGAATCGGATATGGTCATGGAGCTGCGGGGCCAACACAGGCTTTCGGATGAGGACCTCCATTCCTGGCGACAATGGGCTGACCTTACAGTGATGCAGCCACGACGCAGGGAGAGGTCGCGCACACCACGGAGGGATGTGGATACGACCTCTTTCATGGAAGGTGATCGATCCAAGCCCAAAGGGAGGGATGACAAGAAGGTGGACCCGGAGGCGAAGGCTCGCCCCCGACCGAAGAACCGAGCGGATCGTGCAGATGATGGGGGTCGGAGAAATGACACAGGAGCCTCCAGCAGCACCCGGGCACGAGAAAGGAGCACCCGCCCCACGGGGCGATGTGAACCTGAGGAGAGGCCAGAGCTGCCCAGATCGCGCCCGCGGGTCACCAGGGAGATTCGCAACTTGGTGCCGCCACGGCGGCCGCGCAGCCCTATGGGCATCCGTGATGCCACCTTGTGGTGGCTGCATACCTTGGGGCTCAGGGATGGCCCAGAAACAAACGCGACGACAGTGCTACGTCGAGAGGACCACGAAGGACGCCTTGCTGCGGTTCGAGATGTTCAGCAGGGGGATGTCTTCATCCTCATGGTGGCGCTCTTACGTGTAACGGCTATGCTTTATGTTGAGTGCTGCCAGTTGATGTATAACCATCCCTTGGTGATGGAGCACACGGCACCGGATGTGGAGGTGGAAGTTGAGGAGGAAGGGGACTCTACGATGTGGATGCAGCAAGGGCAGTCGTGGAAGAAACGCCGCCTGAACACTGCTTCTACAGATGCCGTGGACATGGATGAGCTCTTGGAGGATGAGAAGGAGGCCATGGAGGACAGGGAGGGACGTGAGGCTCAGCAGGGACAAAGGGAACTGGAGGAGGAAGAACATCACCAGCGAGAGCAGCAGGAGGCGGAGGTCCGTGGAGCAGAGTATGCCAGAGAGGCTTACAGGGATTGGGAGCAGTGGCTTGTCTTGAATACACCTCCGGATGCACCCAAGGCTGTACGATCGAGGTTGCTTGTGCAACATGGGGAGTACAAGGCGGAAGCTTCCTGCACTGTGCCGACAGCGAGAGGCCAGCGGTTGGTGTTTCAGCTGGAGGTGGAGGAAGTGGAGAGGACAAGCGTGCCTGCAGCTCCAGGAACTGCAGGGATGGAGACTGCCTATGAGACGACCAACGACTATGAGGCTGAGGTGTATACAAAGTGGATGAAGGGAGGCCTGACGGATGAGGAGGCTCAACGGTCGGTGGGGTCGGATATGATGGCAGTGTTCAGGCTGCAGAATGAGTTTGAGCAGGAGCTACAAAGGGACAAAGGGGCAACGAGCAGTCAAGAAGTACAATTGGTGGTGGACCCGTCGAGTCAGGATATGGATAGTGTGCCGAGCCGTGAACCGTGAGAGGGATTGTGACGAGTGGTGAATCAACCACGCCTGCCTTCCCCATGGGGATTTCCGATGAGCAAACGGATCTGCTGGTCGAAAAAGGGGCGCTTAAAAAAAAAAAAAAACTTTGAACCCTAAACCCAAACCCTACACTCTGAACCCTGAAGCCTAAACCCTAAACTTTGAACCCTAAACCCAAACCCTAAACTCTGAACCCTGAAGCCCTACATCCGAAGCTCCATCGCCCCAACAGCCCGAAACCCTTATCCCTGACGCCCGCAATCCCAGGAGCCCCAAGAACCACAAACCCTACTTGCAAGATCGAGAGGCCCAGTAGTTGTGTAGTAAGTCAAGCATCATAACCCCAATTAGGATCCAAATTTTTGCACTTAGAGGTCTGCTTATTACCTGTTCCCCGACCCTCCAAGTAGAGCCCGGCTTATCTGCCAGGCTCTTCAGGAGAAGGCCCGGTGTTCTGAGGGTTTCAGGGCTCCGGGGTTCGAGTTACAGTAGAAGAAAGTTGGAGCGTCCTCATTCCTCATCCTCATGCCCTTAAGGCAACATGTAGGGAATCGCAGCAAGAGATCAGCCTTATCTCATGTTCCGAGTTTCTGGGGTTCACTGTAGCGAGTTGGACTCACTCATTCACTCATTCACTCACGCACTCACTCGCTCCACCCCACCCCACTCCACTCCACACCACACCACTCAATGACTCACTGACTCACTGACTCACTGACTCACTAACTCACTGACTCGCTGAGTCAATGACTCACTGACTCACTGACTCACAAACTCACTAACTAACTCACTGGCTCACTGGCTCACTGGCTCACTGGCCCACTGGCTCACTGGCTCACTGGCTCACTGGCTCACTGGCTCACTGGCTCACTGGCTCACTGACTCACTGGCTCACTGGCTCACTGACTCACTGACTCACTGACTCACTGACTCACTCACTCCCTCACTCACTCACTCCCTCACTCACTCACTCACTCGAGGGTACCCGCACAAGCACACACTCACTGGGCAAGCTTACATCTACGTGTACACGGACGTATATGTACACATATGCATATGTATCTATATCCGCATCTACATCTCCATCTCTATCTGCATCTGTATCTGTCTTTGTGTTTATATGTATGTCTGTACATATACATGTGCATATACACATATACATATTGACATCTGTATTTTTGTACATCTGTGGCTACATCTATGTCTGCATCAGTATTTGTATCCATATCTGTACCTATGTGTTTATGTATATCTATATCTATATCTACAAACATATACATACACACCTAGATGTGTATGTACAAGTACGTAAATGTACACTACACACATCTATGTTAGAACGTATACATGTACATAGGTCCGTGTTGTTGGTCTGATGCGGTCATTCAAGGTGCAGGTCGCAGGCTCAGCGGTTCATCATCTTGGGGCATGAAGTTTGGGTTGTGGCTGTGTGTACCGAGTTTGTGAATTTGCGGGGGGGGCGGGGGGGGGGGGGGGGTTGGGGTTGGTCACCGTATCAATCCAGTTGCTGTGTTTTATACCCCCACTACGTAAACCAGTCTTCTGCGTATACGCATCTTGGACATGTTTTCCTGGACACCTTTATCGTCTTCGTCGTAGTGTTTATTCCTCCTCGTGTCCTGATAGTATTGCTATGGCCGCGATGACAACCATGGTGATGACGTATACATGCTATGTCTGCAGAGTGAGCAATCTGGGAGAGTGTGATCTTGGAGTAAAGTGTCCATGCCAATGTATTGCTGCTACTACTGCTGTTCCTACCACTACTAAGGACAACTATTGCTGCTACTACTACTACTACTACGACGACGACGACCACGACGACGACGACGACATCGACCACGAGCACGACCACGACTGCGAACATGACATCGACCACGACCGCGACGACGACGGCGACGACGACGACCACGACGACAACCACGACATCGACCACGACCACGACGACGATGACGACGACCACGACATCGACCACGACCACGACCACTGCCACGACCACGACTACGACTACGACATCGACCACAACCACGAACACTGCCACTGCCACTGCTTTGCAACCGCCACCGCCACCGCCACACCACGACGACGACCACGACCTTTACCACCACCATCGCCACCGCCGCCGCCACCAGCACCGGCACCAGCCAAATACAACAGAAAAGAGAAACAGAAAGAAAGGAAGGCTGAAGCCTATGCTCTGTTGCTTGCACTCCCAAGGAACCCAGGTTCACGGTCTTTCCGGGTGTTTGGGGTTTTGGGGTTTGAGGGTTCGCAGGTTTGGGGAGGGGCGCTTGCCTTCTGCATCACGCCATGGCCGCCTGCTTTCCTCGCCTGCGCGGGGCTCATGCAGCGCTTTTTGGCTTTCGACACTTGATTGCAATGTGTGTGCCCGTCGGCGGCCATTATCTCCTACTTGGCGACGTTCTTGATACAGATCATAGACGCCTTTGCGAACCCGGCGGCGCGTATCAAGCGATTGCTCAGACCTCTTTCCAAGCGCGAAACCTCTCAGGTCGACATTCCTCAGGGCAGGCTGTCCAGCTGGGCCATGCTTGGCCTACGCCAGGCAGCCCTTCACCTTGCATGGGTACTCCCAAAGGCGCTAAAAGTTACCCCGGTCCTCGTTCCTTGTGGGTTTAAGTCCCACTTCCAGGCTGGCCCTGGTAGCAACAGAGCCTCAAGCGCTTGGCTGCCTGCAGACCCGCTGCGCCCGTACGCGCGCCCGCCCGAGAAAGTCCAAAAAGCTGAAGTTGCGACCAAGAGTTGGAAATTAGTCTCAAGGTTGCAACGCCGCGGCGCCTACTTCTGAGTATTTGCGCGTCAACAAGCAAGCTTCTCGCGCTTTGGCCCTTAATGAAGGTCAACGAGTCTTTCCGAGAGCTTTGCGAAACCCTCAGATGCAAAAAGCTTCGCATTGCCAAGGCCATGTGCAAGGTTGACTTGACTGTTCCTACGCGTCGCGGTAGTAGTCCCAGTGTCCTTTATCCTTTTTTGCAGTGTGGCAGAACCATCGCCCTCAGCGCCACTAAGCTCAGCAGCTCAACCCGTGTCGTAAGCAGATTGGAAAGAAGGCCTCGCAACTGGCATTCTAGACGGCCTTTTACGGTAGACACAAGGCTAAAAAGAGCAAAAGGCCAAAAAAACAAGGCCTTCTCAGTCTGCTGAGGCCATTCGCAAGTGTTGGCACACCGTCAAGAAGTTCAAGCGCAACAGACGCCTGGCGGAGTGGAGTGATGAGCCTAGCTCTCGACCATGTCGCTCCTTCAGACCCGTTGCTGGGTGGTGCTTGTCAAAATGCACCTCTCAAAAGTTTGTTTGTCAACTGCACCTTGCTTACCAAGAACGCGCACGTCATTTGCTTGCAAGAAACCTCCTCACCCGCCTAGTGGCTTTCGTTTTGCCTCTGGCCTTCCCGCTGTTCAAGGCTGGGGCATTCAATGGTCTCCTGCCACAGATAAACTCCAACAAACACCGGAAGGCTGGTGGTACAGCGATCCTTTGGCTTAGGGGCTTTGGTCGTGGTCGTGCCGTTGAGGTTGCTGACACCTATGGGGTGAGCGTTTTGAGCCTTGCCACACCCTGTCCCATCAAATCGATGAGGGCCGGCCTGTGACCGTGGGTTCTACCCTACTTCGGGCTTGGCAAAGACACTTCACCGGTTGCTACCATACCTTCCTTCGATTTCGCTTGCCGGTCTGTCTGGCACAAGCATGGCCACCGCCATAGTGGCTGGCTTTCTCATCGAGGCTTCTCTGGGACTGAGATTGACCTCGCCAAGGCTTTTGACAATGTTTCCTGGGCTCACCAGGGCGTTGCGCCTTCGGTCATTCAGTTCCGGTCTCAGTTCTGGAGCGGACTTCGTTTTTGATCTCTACAAGGCACCGTCTCCTCACCTTTTTTTCATGCTCGTGGCGTTTCAATCCGCACGGTGACCCGTTGTCCTCTTGCATCCTTGCTTGCTTTGAAAGTCTTGTCTTCAGGAGAGCATGCGATTTTGGAAGAGGTAAGCTGGTTTGGCCGTCAAGACGGCGTGTGGGCTTTTGCTTGTTAGGTTCGCGGACGTCGGGTCTATCCCATGTCAGGATGCGAGAAAACTCACCCTAGAGATTGTGGGGTGCGCGTTCGCGTGCGGGGAGTGGGCTAGCTCTTCCACCCTTTTTCAAGCCCGCTAAAGAGAGCGAGAGGAAGAGAGAGAGAGAGAGAGAGTGAGTGAGTGAGTGAGTGAGTGAGTGAGCGAGCGAGTGAGTGAGTGAGTGAGTGAGAGCGAACAAGAGGAAGAGAGAGCGAGGGAGAGTACAGTAATTTGGAGTGAGTGAGCGTGAGTGACTGAGTGCGGGTATAGGTGTTTAGGGTTGGCACCAAGGGTTGGTTAAGCGTTAGGCGTATGGATTTTAGGCGGAGTTTTTATTATAGTTGCTGGCCAGCTGCGAGGATCATTGCACCTGCTGATGTTTTGGCTCGCCAGACCTCGAATCGCAGCTGGAACTTTTACGTTCTTAGTATTCCTTCGTGCTGCATCGGAAACCCGAGAACTTTGTCGAGCCAACTTTCGTCTTGCATGTTTGCATGAGTTCAGTTCAACCATGCTATGACACCAAAAATCTTACACAGAACCCAGTAAGCCGAACCCCAAGCGAGAAAGTTTTCGAAGGCAATGCCCGAATGCCAGGTTGGCTTGCCAACCATGCAGGAGTGGAGCTCGACGGACCCACAGGCCCTCGATGATCAGTGGCTTCGGGTGGGTGGTGGAAAGTTTTGGATGACGAATGACTTTCCGCAAGATTAGACTTAGGAATGCGCAAGGTCACGAGTCTGAAGCATAAATGATGCCGAAGAACCCTTAAGCGGGGAAAGCGGAAGAAGGGACGAGGGGCAGTTGGCGCCAGTAGCAGAAGAGATCCCACAACCTTCAGCACAGGCCTCATTTTCAAAGCCTCGGGGTCCAGTTCTAGTATCATGCCCGAACTTAAGTCCTGAGCAAAACCCCGCACGTGCAATGCTTCACAAAGACATCCAACGCTTCGGACCAAACCTGGGGTGTTTTGATGTTGTCTATTATGAGCATAGGAGTACAAACGCCATGCACAAGCCCTATATTGTCGCAAGCGTTTGGGACTCTGTGCTTCGATGGGCCTTGGATGTTGCAACATATAACCCGTGTCTTCGCATCGAGCGCCAAATCCTAAACCTTGTGGGTGTACGGTGTAGGAACAGTGATGAAGTGATTATCCTAACATCGGAAGCTTGAAAGCCTGGCCAGGGCAACACGAAGTTTTTCCAGTGGCTCACAGAAGCGCAGGCAGAAGCCCAGAAGGCCAGATTCACACTTTGCTGGGTTTAGGGCCGGGCTTAGAGTTCCTGGGAGGTTTTGTGGGTAGTGCCGCCGGTATCTGGTACTACACTTCGTCAAACCGGCCGGTGGCTTGAGGCCAAGGTCATGACTTCAGGGGATCGGGAAGGCACAAGCTTTGGGCAGGTCCTGCACATGAGCGATCCGATACAGACAAAGATCAAAACTGCAAGGCAGGTGAGTTCTTAAAGATACAAACAAGCCAACTCCTTCCAAGCACGACTCTTCTCTTGATCCCCTCTGGTGTGTGATTCTGGGCGCACAACCAGGATCTCACATTTGAGCCTCAACACCGGAGCTTCCAAAAGGCAAGTCTCAAGTTCCAAACCCTATACCCTGCAAGCCCCACTCATTCTACCTTAAGCCAAAGACATCCCTAAACCCTAAACCCAAAACCCCTAAACCCTAAACCCTCCTCACACCCTGATCCGCGAGCCGCAGACCCCTGCACCCTAAACCCTAAACCCCTGCACCCTTCAACCCCGCGGCACACGATCGGAAGGTCAAGCTTTCTGTGCATGGCTCGCACGCCGGGGCCTCAGGGATCCTTGGAAGAAGTGTATAATTAACGTTAGAAGGATATAGTTCATATGATATAATACAATATTATGATATGAGATGAAAGATCACAAGATATTTATGTATATAGTTGCAACTTGAGGGTTCAGGAGTTACTTGGAAATACTTGAGTTAGGGTAGACAATCTATAGAGGACGGCTGGTATGAGTATTTTGGGGGCCCTGAGTACTTGAAACTCTTAACCCTTGCAGAACCCATCACAGGAACCCTTCTAGAACCTTTACAGAACCTTTGAAGGTACTGCCAAAGGAACAATCAAAGAAACCCTGCAAGCTTTCAGATCTCCACGCTCGTGCGGGCACCCATTGGCCTGGACGAGGAGGCGAGTCGCTTTCCGTTGGGGGCACTCCGACGATCCGAGATTCACTAAGTAGGGTTATACATACGGTAACTCCATTCATAGATACTGACCAAGTGTCCTGATCCTCCAAGTAGTTTAGGGTGTAGCGTTGGGTCTGCAGGGTTAAGGCTTCTGGAGCTTAGAGGATCAGAATTCAGCATCTTACGGGCTTCGGGTTAGGGTTTTGTGCTTGGTTGGTTTTCTTCTCCTGGTGGGTCCTTCAAACCTCTGGAGGAGCACTCATTGGGGCTGCTATTGCAGTAGGCGAGCCGTGAGTATCATAAGTGTTTGTGTTTCATTGTATTTCTCCAAGTACCTGCGATGCTCTGCTAGCTCAATGTAATCAGTTGCATCTGGAAGTGACCCAACATAAGAGGTATCCCAACACAGATCCTGAATACTACTCTATCCCTAGTTTTTGAAAGCCTTGTCTCTTGAATCAATCAGAAACCTCCTGCCTCTTCGTTCCTGTGCCCGAAATCCTGGACAGTTATCCGTGAGGCCACAACCCCGGCACAACCCCCCATTGCGCATGAATGCCGGGACGATATGCCGGCGCAGCCCCCTAAATCCGCGAGACCCTGAAGCCGTCCCCAAACCCTAAACCCTAAACCTTAAACCGTGTCAGGCTCTGAAGGAGTACTTGAAGTCTTGCGGGACCGCCTATGTGCAATCGAAAGCTTGAGCTTTTTTGGTTCAAGGTTGAGGGCCTCGAGGGGTCGACGGTGAGGTGTAAGGGGGCTTAGGCCTTTCGTCTTGAAGTTTCGGGTGTAAGCTGAGGTGAGCTTGGGGAATGACAGGGTCGAAGAGCCGTGAGGGCGTTGCAGGGATTTTGGGGGATCGAGACTTTGGAGATCAAACCATGAAGCGTGAGGCTTGAACGATCATTGTTTGTGCGGAATGGGAAGTCTTCGCCACTTGGGTTTAGGGATCCGGGTTCAGTCGTGTGGACGATGGGGTTTCAGAGTTAACCCTAAACCCTAAACCCTAGAGGGTTGAGGTTTTAAGGTTTATGCCTTTACAAAGCCTCCCGAGACCGCCAAGCCCAGAAAGGCGCCCTAAGTGCCCTACCCTCAAGGCCTCAAGGGCCCTAACTCCTAAACTGCAGACAAGCCCCCCTTAAGCCCTTTAAAAGCATAAAGCCCCGCACCTCCAGGATTGACATCACCAAGTTCGGTCAGGATGGCACGAAGCTGGGGGCTGAGAACAGAAAGAGCGCCAAGAGTGTCCCAGGGTTTTCGAAGCCCTGGGTTCCCTTTCTAAAGGGGTCCTACGTAGGATAGGGGCCATGTGGGTGGTTGTCAAAATTATGGTCCCTTTTTGGGTCCCTGTTATAGTACGGCATCTAATATTTAGGGCACCCAAAAAGGAACCATAATTTTAACGCTACGCCGCCCGCCTCGGCTGTGTAGCGGCAGGGCGAGGGGGCAGTCGATGTTTTTTTATGTCTTTGTTTTCCTGCAAACCAGTTAAGGCCTTCCAGCCATGCCGCCCGGAGCAAGAAAAAACAACAGAAAGAGCCTGAAAAGAAAGACAGGCAGTGGATTGACGACGCAAAAGCCAAAGCGGGGGCGAGGAAGACGAAACGAGGGCGGGGAGAAGAAGTGGGAGCAGGAAAGAGGAAAGAAAAAGGGGGGGAGGGGGGGGGGTGAAACCATAAACCTCTAAAGGGGTAGCTCTAACAGGTACCTACAGCAATGGCTGCATGCTCATACATATACATTCCGCTGCCCATTGGCTCAAGTGGTTTTACCATATTGAGACAAGACAAGCTCTCCTTGCGTAGCAAGACAAAACAACTACTGTCCGTGTGCAGGGCGCTGCCCTTTGATCCTTAGGGAATAACTGGTCATACACCTCCTCCCAAGGAGTATCCCTTGGGGGTGTATCGGCACAGTTTTCTGGTAGCGGAGCCCGGAAAGGGCCGCCCGCCTCACAAAGTCCGCTACAGCGGTCGGCCTCGCCGAACGCTTGACCAAGCGGATAAGAGGCAGCACAATGTCGAGCTCTCATAGCGAAGCCGACGGCAGTTCCCAATCCTCCGGGGGATATGAGAACGAAGAGACCTCCCAAGGTCCAGCTACTTATGTCGCACAGTCATATGCAACAGCTGACCGCATGCTTGCATCATTAGGCATAACGCCCAAGATCGCGCCTGCCTATGATGGCACCACCTCGTGGTTTGAGTATGAACAGTTGATTGACGACTGGTGCGACATAACAACGCTGGATGACACCAAAAGAGGTCCGTCTCTCAAGACGAGGCTCTCCGGATTGGCCGCAGGACAAAAAGAATCACTTAACCGAGAAAGGCTTGCAGCCCCAGATGGAGTAGATTACTTCAAGAAGAAGATGCGTCCATTTTTCGTGAAAGGAGAACAGTACGTGTTCCTGTGGCGTTTCCTCGGCCTATTCAAGGCATGGAAGGGCAACCAAGACTTTGTGACTTGGATTGCTAAGTTTGAGATCGTGCTACAGCGCGTGAAAAACTCATGGATGGATCTCTTACCAGAGATAGCTCTGGAGGATGCCCATCCAGATTTCATGCAGGCTGTGCAGGCAGATCAAACCTTCTTGCGCCTACAGGATGCAACCGAGAAAGACACATACGCCGCACGTTTCTTCGAAACATGGAACAAGGAACGCCTTGATAATCATCGAAGAGCGTTTCCTCTAAATGATAATCTCCTAGCTCTTCTCTTCCTAGTGCAGTCCGACCTAAATGAGATGCAACGTGAGAGGTTGGTAACAGCATTGACCAACCAAGTTCACCGAATTGAGACCTATACGTACCCTGTGGTACGGCAGACCATGTTCGATCAGTTCTCAACGACCAGAACTGGTCTGCAGGATCCCAACATTCGGCACTCTTCTCACAAGAAGGACCGCCACGGAAGGAGAGATCAACGCCGCAAACGCGGAGGTCGAAACTTCCTCATCCTCGATCAAGGTGAATACGACGGAGTCGATGGATTCTGGCTCCAAGACGAAGACACCCTTGAGGAAGGCTTTCTTGCCGCCGAGGATGAAGAAGCTGTCTTCTGGACAGTTGACGACCATGAAGCCATCGTTGCAAGGAGATTCAAAAAGGGAAGAAGACCAAGAATGCGTCCCGGATCACCGGGAAGAGCAAAGGGTGGCAAGCGAAAAGGACGTGGCCGTTTTAGGTCATACCGCGGAAAAGGGAGAGCCAACCAGGCAGAAAATGATCCAACTGATTCCAGCTATTTCGGTAAAGGTAAAGGAAAGGAAAAAGGAAAAGGTGGAAAAGGCAAAGGAAAAGGAAAGGACAAAGGAGATAAAGGAAGCTCCTTCAATGGTACAAAAGCAAAAGGCAAGGGTAAGGATACAGCTAAGTCTGCCTCCTTACAAGGAGACCAAACTGGATCTCCACAGGCCTATGAAAGTTCCACCGCACCGAGCTGGGATTCATGGTATGAGAACAGTTATTATACTGACTCCAGTTGGAATTATGCCGCTTATGACGATCAAACGTCTTATACATACTATGCATCACAAGCCTCACGCAGAAAGACACGGAGAAAGAAGAGAAGAAATCAAGCAGGATCATCAGGTAGAGGCACAGATCCGAGCGCGCACCAAGAACCCGTGTTCAACTCATCAGTGAGTTACGTGCCCCAGGTCTCTGAACCATCCGAGGGGCAAGGTGTGGAGACTGCAACAGCAGTGTTTCCGTTGCAGCACACCGTCCTATCTGCCCTCACAGAGCGGATCAATCTTGATAAGAGCCCTACCTTTGTCATACTTGACTCTGGTTGTACTAGGGCTATGGGTTCCCGCTATGCGGTGAACAGGCTTATCAAGGCCGTGAAGCAACATGCCCCAGGCATGATTGATTTCACTTTTTCACCTTCGAACACGCAGTTCTCTTTCGCAGATAGTGAAACAGCTCTTATCAAGGAGCGTGTAACTCTATGGTTCAACACAACTCCAAGAAGAGATACAACCATAGAAGTCTTGGATCAGGGAAGAGTTCCCATCTTGTTTTCCATCGAACAGATGAGGAATTTAAGAATGACTCTCGAGTGTAGTCCAACAGCTGACCTAGCAACGTGTGAAGCTTTCGGTTTGTATAAAACCCCTCTTCCGATTAGTACCAATAACCATTTGGTATTGGACCTTCTAGGCTTCACTTCCACCAGGAATTATCTCCCTAAGTCAGGTACGTCGTTCAGTGCGACGGAGACTGCTCTAGGAGCCAAGAAGCCTTATACTAGGATACCGGAAGGTCGCTGTCCAGCCTGTGCCGGACAGAAAAGGGCACACACTTACCTCAAGGGTTGCGACAAAGCACCTGAGGGAGCAGCTGATCCACCACCGAAGAGGATTTCAGGTAAAAAGAAGCCTCTTCCATCTGATCCAGCAGAATCATCTGCCAAGAAACTTGATCCACCAGAACCATCTGGTGATGCTCCTGAGCTTTCCGGACCATCGGAACCATCATCAGGCTCTAGGGACAAACCTGCAGAATCCTCTGCACCACATGAACCTCCAGAAGAAGAAAGACTTGAGGTCCCACCTGCGAAGATAAAGACTCCAAAGGGTCTTAAAAACCTTTTGAAGAAATCCCGCAAATACGCGGTTAAATCTCCTGTTGAAGAGAAGTCTAAGGTCCCAGGAGCTGATGACGGGACGGAGGTAAGACCACTTGAGTCAAGAGAATACCCGGCTCCTGGTACAGACTCACCTACAGGTGAAGAAATTGTCGCAGAACCATCGCCATCTCTTCCCATTGCTCTTCGCAGGATTCATGAGAAGCTTAAGGACCCTGTAGAACTCTATAAGCTTCACCTTAAGCACCGTCATATGAGTACGGATCAGTTCACGCGACGCACAAAAGCCTTACAGATCCCAAAGGAGATATACGAGCTATATGACCAACTGGTCAAAAAGTGTTCAGCCTGCCAGGAACATGTGAGAGCTCCTTCGAGAGCGAAGATTTCTGGTTTAAGATCAGAGACTTTCGGTGATCTCACCTTCGTAGATCACGGTGAGCTTCCAATTCCCGGCAAGGATAGTCGCTTAGTATTTCTTATTCTCTATGATGTAGCAACAAACTTGTTGACTGCCGAAGTAGTCCAGGATAAAGAAGAACATACTACAATGTCGATTATGAATGACTACTTTGAGAAATTTCAGATCAACCCCAAGGTTGTAGTTGGAGATCAAGCATTCATGACTCCAAAAATGGAGGCTTATTACAATCGGCAGAATATCAAGCCTGTGGCAACAGGACCTGGAACACCATGGCCCAACAGGGCCGAAGCTGCTGTAAGATTGCTGAAGCATCAGATTAAGCTCATACTCCAGATTCTGAAGGATGGTGACCCGCAGTATAACGGAATCACCATGAAGTATGGCAACTTCGTTCGCCAAGCATGTTTGGCAAGAAACTCTTCGATTACCTACGGAGGAGTTACTCCTTTAGAAATGGCCTTTGGAAGGCGTCCTCGAGATGTTATAACACCAGAGAACGCTGATCCCAATCAGTTGACAGGTAATCCAACTGATACGGAAATCACTGCGAGAGCCATTAAGGAGCTTGCCAACAGGGCTTACCAAGAGGCACGCCAATCTGATGATCTGCGTAGAGATCTTGCAGCCAGACTGTCAATGACCCAAGGACCGTTCTCTTTGGGAGATAAGGTTTTCTACTGGTCAGAAGATAAGTCTAAGATTGGATCCACTGGGTCCAAACATGGATCTTGGCTAAAAGGGAAGGTGATCTCCGAACTCGGAGGATCCATGGTAGGTGTGGATCTTGGAACACGCATCGTCCGCGTCAATATCTCAAAACTGAGGAAAAACTATGACATAACATCTGATGTGGAGATTCCTCTCGCGCCTGATGAGGAAACTCTGACGTCAGAAGGTTCTGATCACGCAAGTTGCATGGTCACCTTTGATGCTTCCCGGCAGTCGACAGACCTAACGGTTCCGCATCAAGAGTGTCACTGGCAGGTCACCAGCACTGGGAAGATTGACTTCCTAGAACTCTACGGTGGATCTCCCCGTATGAGTCACAAGGCTGCCCTGTCAGGTCTGCGAGTAGGTCAGCCAGTCGATTTGCGTAGCGGTCTAGATCTTGAGCAACCGCAAGGTCGCTCCAATCTTCTTAGGATCATCAAGGAACAAGAACCTACTATTATTGTTATGTCACCGGACCATTCT